GCGTGCGCGCGTGTGCGCGTGTGCGCGTGTGCGCGTGTGCGCGTGTGCGCGTGTGCGCGTGTGCGCGTGTGCGCGTGTGCGCGTGTGCCGTGTGCGCGTGTGCGCGTGTGCGCGTGTGCGCGTGTGCGCGTGTGCGCGTGTGCGCGTGTGCGCGTGTGCGCGTGTGCGCGTGTGCGCGTGTGCGCGTGTGCGCGTGTGCGCGTGTGCGCGTGTGCGCGTGTGCGCGTGTGCGCGAGTGCGCGTGTGCGCGTGTGCGCGAGTGCGCGTGTGCGCGTGTGCGCGTGTGCGCGTGTGCGCGTGTGCGCGTGTGCGCGTGTGCGCGTGTGCGCGTGTGCGCGTGTGCGCGTGTGCGCGTGTGCGCGTGTGCGCGTGTGCGCGTGTGCGCGTGTGCGCGTGTGCGCGTGTGCGCGTGTGCGCGTGTTGGCGTGTGCGCGTGTGCGCGTGTGCGCGTGTGCGCGTGTGCGCGTTTGCGCGTGTGCGCGTGTGCGCGTGCGCGTGCGCGCGCGGGTGCGGGTGCGGGTGCGCGTGCGCGTGCGTGTGCGTGTGCCTTTGCGTGTGCGTGTGCGTGTGCATGTGCGTGTGCGTGTGCGTGTGCGTGTGCGTGTGCGTGCGTGTGTGTGTGTGTGTGCGCGTGTGTGCGGGCGTGTGCTTGCGTGTGCGCGTGTGTGCGTGCGAGTGCGTGCGTGCGTGCGTGTGTGCGCGTGTGCGAGTGTGTGCATGCGTGCGGCTGTATGTATATGCGTGTCTCATGTGCGTGCCGTGCATGTGTGCTCTGGCGTTGCATGGTGTGTGGGCGTGTGTGTGTGTGTGTTGTGTGCGTGTGCGTGTGCGTGTGCGTGTGCGTGTGCGTGTGCGTGTGCGTGTGCGTGTGCGTGTGCGTGTGCGTGTGCGTGTGCGTGTGTGTGGTGTGTGTGTGTGCGCGTGCGCTAGTGTGTGCACGCGTTCGGCTGCGTGCCGTGCATGTGCTGCGCGTGGGTGAGGTGAGAGAGGAAGAGGTGAGGAGGGAGGAGGGAGGGAGGTGAGTGAGGGAGACGCGGGTGGGACGCGGGAGGGAAGAAAAGCAGAACCCCACGAAGCATGTGGGGAACAATTCGTGGGAGAGGCGGGGCCCCGAGAGCACACGTTCGGAGGAGAACCCTTGGAGAAGGGAGAGAGAATTAATCCAATCGAGCAGCTGTGGGGGAGGAGGAGAGGAAGGAGGAGGAGGAGGAGGAGGAGGAGGAGGAGGAAGGAGAATGAGGAGGAGGACGGAGGAGGAGGAGGAGGAGGAGGAGGTGGATGATGCTGAGAGGGAAGAAGAACGGGAGAAGGAGGAGGAAGAGGAGGAAGATGAGGAGGAGGAGCAGGAGGCGGAGCGTCAGGAGGAGGAGGAGGAGGTAATGGGGAGAGGGGCGAGGCGGACGGGTGGCGGGAGGGAGAGGCCGTGCGCTGCGCCTGGCCCGGCCCCGGGGGGGGGGGGGGGCCGTGGGCGCCCGCGCGGCGGCCCCCGCTCAGTAGGCGACGGCCTTCGTCTGAGCGAGGTGGTCCGACCACTCCTGGAACGGAGGCTTCACGAAGTGCGTGGGCTTCCAGAGGTCCTGGCCGCCGGGGGGGCCGCAAAGGCGGCACACGGGCACCCTCGCTCGGGAGGGCCCGCGCGGGGAGCGCGCGCCGCGGCGCTGGGCCCCCCGCCCTGGCTCGCGGGGAAAGGGGGGCCGAGCCAAGAGCTCCGCGCGCGGACCTCCGAGAGCTGCTGTGGGACCTTGCCGCACAGCACGGTGTTGGGACCCGGGCGGCCCGAGCGGTGCCTCGACGTCCTCGCCAAACGACCCCACTCCCCAGACCCCCTCGAGTAATGAAAAAATCACGACGGGAGGTTTTTCCTAATTATCGGCCTCGGGGGACCCTCACCGGGCCTCGGGAGCGTCAAAAAACGACTCAGGATGCAAAGCCGGTCATGGGGAAAGTGTCAGGACCTCTGGGGGTCGACGTAATGAAAAATTCATTACGTCGGGGGTCTGGGCCCGAGCGGTGCCTCGACGTCCTCGCCAAACGACCCCACTCTGGGGAAGCCACGAGGTGCCCATACCGCGACTCCCCGGACCTCTCCCGGGGCGCGTGCAGACCAGAGTTCCGGAGCGAATCCAGCGGTGGCGACGGGGGCCTCCCGGGAGGCTCAAAAAGGGGAACACGAGGGGATGGTAGTGGTACCCGTCGGCCAGAAGAAGTGGGTCGAAGCATGAAGCAGGAAGGCGTTGAAGGTAGATTGGACTTCCGCCCGCCCACTGAAGAGCAGGGACGAGAGACAGCCGCTCGACTTTTGAAGCAGGAAGGCACCTGAAGGAGATTGGAATCTGGGTACCTTCTCCTCCTCCGAGTCCCAAAACCGTGCGGCCGCCCCTCCAACAGTCTGGCCACCGCACCGCTCGCAGAGGCCTCCCTAGATGGGGTCGGAGTGGATGGGGTCGGAGGATCGCGCCGCACAGGCGGTACATCGGCGGTGCTCTGGCGATGCACCGGCGGTGCATCGGCGACGTCGGCGAGGCATCGGCGGCGTCCGCGTGAAGAAAATCGGGCTCCGCATCGAGCCGCATCGCCAATGCATCGGCGATGCGGCGCGAGCCTCTGACCAAATCTGCTCGGACCCCATCTGGGAGGCCTAGACTTTGGGGGGGGCCCCGACAGGCGGCAGCGTCGCAGACTTTCGGAGGTTTCCTGGGTCGGCGTTGAACGCCACCCTGGCGGCCCCTTCTGGCGCCTGAGCGCGCCAAAGAAAATGTATGTTGCAACCTCGGGGGACCTTGTCCCGTCCCTGCACTATCCGCGCCGAATCCGTTCGAATCCATGTCGGCCTCGTCGGATCCGTGTCGAATCCGTGTCGAATCCGTGTCGAATCCGCGTCGAATCCACGCCAAATCCGCGTCAAGTCCGCACCGAGCCTGCGTCAGGCTCAAGAAAAGACACCAATTTCGGGGAGAGGCAAGGTCCCCCGAAGATGCAACGTAAGAAGCGGGGCCCAACGCCGACCCAAGAGATCTGCGCGGACCTCCGAAAGGTTGTGCTGATGCCGTTTTTGCTATTCGGGATCCGGCGTGAGGTAGCCGAAGGTCGCCCTGAGGGCGTCGAACGTGGCCTTGATGAAGTTGCCCTTGGTCCTGGTGTGCCCGCAGGAGCAGCTGAAGCAGTCCTGGATGCCGCAGAACGCAAGCATCTTCTTCATCACGGGGGAGCCGACGACGCTCGATCCGCGGGGCGCCGGGACGAGCCGGACGCGCACCGAGCCGCACTTGCCCGCAACCTTCATCGGCACTGTGTGCGGCAGGCCGATCTTGTTCCCCCAGTACCCTCGCCGGACGGGGATGAGGCTCAGCTTGGCTGCGATGATGCCGCCGCGGATGGCGGTCGCGACCTCCTTGGAGCACTTCGATCCCAGGCCGATGTGGCCGTTGTTGTCGCCGACAAGGACGTAGCAAACGAAGCGGTTCGTCTGGCCAGCCGAGCTCATCTTCTGCACCGGATGGATCTTCATCACCTCGTCCTTGAGAGTGCCTGGCTGGAAGAATTGGTCGATGATCTGGTATTCCTTGATGGGCAGAGAGTGAAGGTAGATGTCCTCGATTGAAGTGATCTTGCCCTCCTTAACAAGGCGTCCGAGCTTGGTGCAGGGCACCCATTCCTTTTCTTCGGCTCCCTTCTTGCCACCCTTCTTTCCCTTCTTGCCCTTCTTGCCCTTACCGTCGGGCTTCCCTTTGCCGAAACCGCCTTCGCCCATCGCTGCCAAACACGAAAAACTATTTCACCGCAGCCAAGAAGAATCCGCCGCCACGCCTGCACGACCGTGGATCGTTTGAATGCTTGTTCTGTTAGTTGTCTGGTAGGCCCCACGAGACGGCTGCAAGACGCCCGAAGACTGGCCCCAGGCGGCCCAACCACCCCCCAAAAGGGCTGCAGGATGCCCCCGAGAGGCCCCGAAGAAATGCTCAAAGACTCAAAGAGGCATCCAGCGACACCCGTCAACGGCCATAGCAACGAAAAGCCTTAGAAGGGGTCGATGCTTTGCTCCCGAGGCTCTTCGGCCTCGAGAGCGCTCCGGGAACAATCCAGAGAACCCCATGAGGGCCCGAGATGGCCCACGAGGACCCCAACGCAGCGCCAAGACGGCCAGAGAACCCCCCAAGAGGGCCCGAGGCAGTTCCAAAGAGGGCCCCAAGACGGCCCCACGAGCACAGGCGTCCCCATTTTATTGCTCGGCCGAGTCTCTTCGGGAGAGGCTCGGCAGAGCAGTCTCGCCAAAGACGGGCCCGAGACCCCCGACAGACCTCCAAGAGGCCCCCGATCAGCCTCCAGGACGGCCCTCGGGGGCTCCCAAGAGCCCCCCCCCCCAAAAAACACCGATAAGCCTCCAAGAGCGATAGAGGGGTAAAGATGACAGGGAAGGAGGATCCAGGAAGAGGAGCAGAACGAAGCAGAGGGCAAGGAAGGCGCATGTGTGTCAGCACACACGCCGCTCAGGCAACTGCGCTGGAGAGGGTCTTAAGATCAGCCTCCTGCCTGCTGCCCTGCTGCGCTTGCACGGTAGCGGAGCCTGCCGCAGGTAGCTGGATAGCTTGAGCCAAAGTGGCTGCAGAGGAGAAGGAAAAGAAAGAAGCGAGGGGAGGAGGAATAGGGTTTAGGAGGAGGAGAGGGCGCAGCAGCAGGGACGATGAGGTCGGAGGAATGTTGAGGATCTGGAGAGGAGAAAATATGAGGATCCCTTGCGACTGGCCGATCGCCCACTGCAGGCCGGCCTCCCCCGGCCCCCCCGAAGAGCAGGAGAGGAGCAGGCGGAAAGGAAGGAACAAAAAGGAGAAGGAGGAGACGGACAAGAAGAACAACGCAGATGGATGGAGCACTTCAGGACGAGGAGGAGGAGGAGGAACTGCGGGATGAGGAGGAGGAGGAGGCCCTCCGCCTGGCCCTCCGATGTCCCATCCCAGGGCCCGTGAGAGCGTCAAGACATCACACGGTGGGGGGCAGACGAGGCGCCTCCGAGGCACGCGGTGTGCTTCTGAGCCGTCGGCCCGCGGAATCTGCCGGGGGGGGCGCCTGCTGTGAGGTCGCTGCTTTACCCTCTGCGAGGGATGTAGCCCGAAGCTCTTCCTGCCAAGCCCTGCTCCGTCTCGTTCTCCCCCTCTTCCTCCCCTTCTCTTCTACCCCCCCCCACCCCCTTCCACAACACACGACCCCCCACCCAATCACAGACACACACGCACACACACACACACACACACGCACGCCCACACACACAACAAACACACACATACACACACACACATACGCTCACGCGCGCGTGCCACCACGCACGCACAGACACACATACACACTTACACACACGCGCGCACACCCCCCCACACACACACACACACACACACACACACACACACACACACACACACACACACACACACACACACACACACACACACACACACACACACACACACACACACAACACGCACGCACGCACGCACGCACCGCACGCACGCACTCACGCACGCACGCACGCACGCACGCACGCACGCACGCACGCACGCACGCACGCACGCACCCCCCCCCCCCCCCCCCCCCCGACCCACCCACCCACCCACCACACACACACACACACTTTTTGGCGGTGGCGGCCTCGCGCTGAGCGACGAGGAGGAATGAATACAAGCACTGAGCGCTAAACACGCGCACGCACACGCACACACACACAAACACACACACACACACACACCCACACACACAAAACATGTTTTGCGTCGGCGGCTGGACAGAGGGCGACTGCTCCGGCGGAAAGGCAACAGGGGACATGCTGTATGCAAATTAGGGCCGCGATGCACGGAAGGAGGAGGAGGGACCCTGGCGCGACAGGAAGAAAGGAAACTGGGCCACTCAAAGCTGCTGGCTGCGGCGGGGATAGCACCGAGGAGGGGGAGCAGGGTCGGAACAGGGCTGCACTGAGATGAAGCTGGGGGGAGGCAGCCTGGAGCAGCACCTGGCGGTGGGAAACAAAACGCAGCAGAGCCCAGCCCAGTGGACCGAGCACAATCCAGGGATGGGCCAGTGCGCCGAGACCTGCGGGCCCGCGAGGCACGTCGAGGAGAAGGAAGGCGATTGCCATGACTGATCAGCCCCAGCTGCGGCCGAAGCGCCGCAAGCAGGCACAAGGGCCGGTACTGAGCAGCACTGAACTGGACAGGGCTGGAGCTGGCGCCGAAAGGCACTGAGCAGTGGCTGAGGATGGGAAGCCAACGAGGCGGTGCCCAGCCGAGTGGACCAAGGCACGGCCCCAGGATGAGCCGAAGCGCCGAGACCTGTGGGCCTGCGAGGCGCGGGCAGGGAGGGGCGGAAGGCAGGCGGTGGCACCGCGCAGCCCTGAGCGGCACAGAGCAGTACAGGAGCGGCCGAGAAAGGCGGCGGTAAGGGGGGAAAGACGAGCGCCGAGAGCCCCACGCCGACGGGAAGGCACCCCGACGTCGGCAACGGTGGGGAGCGCCGAGACCAGACAGACCAACGAATCTAGCCGCGGAATGAGGGACGGCCCGGCGGGGCGCAACGGCGCGGCAGCCAGGGCAAAGAAGGAGCAGGGCAACGCCAAGTGGGGGAGCGGCGGGCGCAAACACGCAGAAGAAGGGAGAAGGGCGCCGACAGCGAACGCCAGCCGGCGGCGGGCAGGAAGGCCACGTCCAGTGGGAGAGCGGCGGGCAAAGTGGGCGAACGGGTGGGCCGAGAGCCAACTGGGCAGTGACCGACATCGGCGAGGTGCCATGGGGGCAACAGCGACCAGACACTGGTAGCTGGTGCTGGGGAGGTGGCCAGAGACCAGGCAGATAGGGGGGACACAGGCAACGTAGCGAGTGTCGCCCGGCCGGCAAACCACAGCAAGGGCCAGCGGGGTGCCACAGGCAAAGCCTGAAAAAAACACCTGCAGAAGGCCGGCACCCCAAGAGGCAGGGGGCGGCGGCGGGGCAAGGCACCCCAAGGCGGGCGGGAGGGGCGGCCCGAAGGTCACGAGCGGGCGGCAAGACCAGCCTGCTGTGACAGGGCCCACCCGGAAATGGCGGCAACGGTGGGAACAGGCCAAGCGCCCGCAAGAGCGCTGGCGGGCCCCACGCACGCATGGGCGCGAGAGCGCCACCCAGCCTGGAACCGACGCCGGCGGCTGCGGGAAAAGACAAGCCCAGAGCGAGAGCTGGAGGCTTGCCGGGGGGGGCACCGAATGGGTGCATGATGAGAAAAGCGGCCACAAGGGCAGGGAGGGCGGCGTGCAGGCCCGGAGCGAGGGCTGGGGGCCTGCGGGGGGGCATCGGAGAGGCGCACGATGTGGGGAAGCCACGAGGGAAAGGAGGGGAGGACAGCGGCCAGGGTGGCCGCTGCCAGGGCGGGGATGTCAAGCTCAGTACAGGACGAGGTCATAGGGCGGCTGACTGGACGCTACCAGCGGTGGCTGCTGGAAGCTGACCCGCGCTGGCGGGAAGGGTCGTTGCTGGGCCAAGAGGAGTCCGCCGGCCGCTTCCCTTTCCCGTGCGGCGGAGAACCCTTCCCTGCGCCATTCTCGAGCTCAGCGCTTTGCCTCCGCTTGTCAAGTTCGAGATGCCACTCAGCACGTGCCAATCGCCTTGTACGCCTCTCTTCCGGCAAAGACTGCGCACGTCGTAGTTGACCTCGCTGAGGTCATGCACGAAACCTTGGCAGAATTGGGAGCTGTGACGCTGGGGGTCTTTGGCGGAATGGGGTCCAGACTCCTGGTCGCAGATGGCATTCCACCCGATGGACAGCATGGGGCCACATTCTTTCTTCAGGCGGTTGATCACCGCTCTCCAGTTCTCCCTTGCGTTGGCTCGGTGGTTCCAGGTCGGGCACCAGGTCACCAGGTGCCTTGGCTTGTAGTAAGGCCCGCCATGGTTGTTCGACTGACGCGCGGGCAGCGTGACAGGGCGGGTAACGCGGTGCCAGATCCCGTCTCCAGGGCGGGGTACTTTCCGCTGAGCCTCGTCCGCGCCACCTTTGGGATGCGCCTGGGCTGCACTGTTCGCTGGTCCTGGGGATTTGGGACACACATACACACACTTTTTGGCGGTAGACACACACACGCACACACGCACACAGTTTTTGTCCGTCAGCGGCGAGGGGACGACTCAGTCGCGAGGCACTGAGCTGGAATACGCTCAGGCGAAAGGCCACCTGGCGAAGCAGATGGGTGGTCTGGCAGATGCAGACACTTGCAGATCAAAAACGCGAGAACGCGCACGCACGTGGAAAATGTAGCAGCGGCCATGCGAATACAGGAGTTGGCCGAGCACAGCCAGGCGGACTGAGGCACAAAGGCAGAGCATGCGAGGTGCGACACAAGCGTGGCGATCAGGACGCGCCAACAGCAGCAGACGGTGCATCTGGTTCCGATGCAGCCCGCGGAGAGTCAGACCCGGAACGGACTAGGCTGCCCAGAACCGATATCGAATCGGATTGACCGGATCAGGACATACCCTGTGGTGAGGAGGAGGGGAGACCCTATCCAGACCAAGGAGGGGGGCTACTCAGGAGGAGGATCGCTAGCAGAGCGAACGTCGACGACGACGTCGACGACGTCGACGGTCGATTGGGACGAGATCCGAAAATGGCCCGACGTCGACGAATACGGCGACGACGGCGACGACGACGACGACGACGACGACGACGACGACGACGACAACGACAAGGGCAACGACGACGCGAACGACGACGACGACCACCACCACCACCATCACCAGGAGGGGTAGAGGGGGGGCCCGCGCCCACAAGGGGGCCTCCGCGCGGGGGGGGGGGGAGAAAGAGGAGGAAGAGGAGAGGAGGGGAGGAGGAGGAGGCAGGAGGAGGAGGCGGGGGGGGGGGAGGGGGGGAGGGGGAGGAGGGGGAGGAGGAGGAGGAGGAGGAGGAGGAGGAGGAGGAGGAGGAGGAGGAGGAGGAGGAGGAGGAGGAGGAGGAGCAAGACCACTGCAAACCGAAGACGTATCAACGATGTTGCAATACACCCTCCCGTCAAGTTGCCTCTTCAGAAAGCCCTGCAAGAATCGTTGTTCATTGTTTGAAGTGCCCCACAGCAAGACAAGTGTCAGAGAACCCTCAATCGTGCCGAAGCGCAATTCCTGGGCCTTCAACGCCGTGAATCGAAGATACGATTGCGTCCTGGCGATCCGACAACGTGCCAGAACACCTTCCTGGGACTTCAACGCCGCAATCACATGTGATCGTTGCGTCCTGACAACCCTAAATCGTGCCAGAATAACTTATTGGGACGCCAAACCTGCGAGTCCATGAGACTGCTGCAAACTCTTAAAACGAAAGCGCGCGGCGCTGAGGCGAGAGCCACACCTTGAACAGGAATCGCCCTCCACATCCTTGAAGCTGTCGGTGGTGTTCAAGACGGACGTGCGCGGCGCTGAGGCCACCGCCACGACAGTTTGAAAACCACCCGGCCTGCATCCCCGAAACTGCTGCAGATTCCGAGCTTCAGGATCACAAGCGGTGAAGAATTCTCAGGCGGAGCGCCCGGCACGCCCTACCGACACGTCTGGGCGTGCGGCAGGGAGGCGTTGCCGAGAAGTAAAAAAGACAGAGGCAGAGGAGGAGGAGGAGGAGGAGGAGGAGGCAGGAGGAGGAGGAGGAGGAGGAGGAGCGAGGGTCCCAAAGGAGGAGGAGGAGGAGGAGGAGGAGGAGGAGGAGGAGGAGGGGAAGGAGGAAGAGGAGGAGGAGGAGGAGGAGGCAAGGCAGAGGAGGAGGAGGAGGAGGAGGAGGAGCAGGAGGAGGAGGAGGAGGGTCCTTCTTCTCCCTAAGGTACACCGATGCCCGGTCGCTCTCGTAAGAGTCGTCCTGTCCCGCCGCGGGCCCCCGGGCGTGCGCACCCGCTGCGGAGGGGAGGGCAGGGCAGCCTATCCCCCCCCCCTCCCCTCCGTGGCAACTCACGGGAGCCTCCCATGCCATCTGGTCGGCTCTGGCGGATCGACCCTCGTCGACGCGGAATCGACCCCCGTCGGCGCCCAATCGACGCTGGTCGACGCCAACCGACGCCGAAGCGGCGCTCCCTCATCGAGTCCCAGTCGCTAATCGGCGCGAGCCGACGCTGACGATGGAGTAGAAGGGTGTACCAGGCTGCCGCGATGGGCTGCCGAAAACCCCCCAACATCGGGGGTTGCCACGGAGCGCCTCGAGAAAAAGGCGCCCCCCGGGGGCAGGCACGGCCCCGGACCTGCCACCAAGGCCAGCACGCCCGCGGTGGAACGGAGCCCTCCGCGCTGCCCGCCCGCCCTCTGGCGCTTGCATCGCCAAGGCATCGCCAAGGCATCGGCGATGCATCGGCGATGCATCGCCGATGCATCGGCGATGCATCAGCGATGCATTGGCGACGTCGGCGTAGGGAAACACGGGCTCCACATCGAGCCGCATCGTCGATGCATCGGCGATGCGGCGCGATCCTCCGACCCCACCTACTCGGACCCCATCTAGGAAGCCTAGGGCCCACCAGGGAGGAGGAGGGGGGGATGAAAGGGGAGGAGAAGAGGGGAAGGCGGAAGGGGATTGGGGCAGGATCTCGGTGGGCCTTGGAAGCGGCAGGGCATTTTTTGTACCGGTTCCGATGTTCCGTTCGTGTCCAGGTTCCGTCACCGTGCTTTCTGTCTGGTTCCGTCGCCGTGTTGTTCCGGCCCCGGTTCCAGTTCAAGCGAAAATGTTTGCGCTTCACTTGGCAATTGTTCGCCGCTCTCATACTCAGGAGCCACATGACTGGGACATGCTCAAAAGTATCGGAACACACAAATTAAACACACGCACGCGCACACAACAAAAGACGCCCTGCCGTTTCCAAGGCTCGCCGAGGGCAAGAAGGGAGGGGAAGAGGGGGACGGGGAAGGGACGGGAGGGGGCGTGGCTGGCAGGAGCAAGGGAGGGGAGGGGGAGGGGAGCGGGGGGAGCGGGTGCCGCAGAGACACGTACCGAGAGAGGGAGAGACAAAGAGAGAGAGAGAGAGAGAGAGAGAGCGAGAGAGCGAGAGAGCGAGAGTGAGTGATGGTAAACAGAATCCGCTGGCCCCCTTCGGGGCGCAGGGCTGCGACACTTCAGGCTGGGCTGCTGCCGTTGTGCGATGTGTGCTGGTTTGGGCTCTGCTGGCTCCTGCCCCTCGGGCCCCTGCCCCTTGCCCGCGTCATGACAGACTGGCCAGCAGAGCACGGGGGGCATCGGAGACGATCCCGCGAGGCCTCGGAGAGAAAGTGGCCCGAGAGCCCAAGACAACACAAGAAGGCCCAAAGGCGCCCAAGATGAGCTCGGGAAGGCCGAAGACGCCCCCAAGACGCCCCAAGAGGGCCCGCAAGAGGGCCCCCGAAAGGACCTCCAAAGATGGCCGAAATAACTCCAAGACTGCCCAAGAAAACCCCCATACGGCCCCCACCAAGACGGCCCGAGAGGGCCCAATGACAGCCCAGAGGGCTACAAAAAACCCTTGAGAAGCCGCCAAAGGCCTCTGAAAAACGCCCAGGACGGCGCCAAATGGGCCACAAGGGGAAGAGGAAGCGGAAGAGAAGGAGGAGGATGGGAAGGAGGAGGGGGAGGAAGAGGAGGAGGAAGAGGAGGAGGAGAGGCAAGAGGACAACGAAGAGAAGGATGAAGAGATAATGAACTAGGAAGACAAACAAGAAGATAACATCTTGCGGAAGACATAGGAACGGAGAGGAGAGTAGACGCACCTTGAGGAGGAACAGAGAGCAGAAAAGACGGAGGGGGAGGAGGCGGAGGAGGAGGGGGAGGAGGAAGAGGGGGGCGGATCAGGGGGGGAGGAGGAGGAGGTGGAGGAGGAGGAGGGGAGGAGGAGGAGGAGGAGGAGGAGGAGGAGGAGGAGGAGGGGAGGAGGGGGGAGGAGAGGGGGAGGAGGGAGGAGGAGGAGGGAGGAGGAGGAGGAGGAGGAGAGGACGAGGAGAGGAGGAGGAGAGGGGAGGAGGAGGAGGAGGAGGAGGAGGAGGAGGAGGAGGAGGAGGAGGAGGAGGGGAAGAGAAGCGAAGGTAGCTGGCGGCCACGTTCGTCTGCTGGGCAAATCACGCTGCGGCACGCGTGCTAGGCCCCCGCCCAGGGCAGCGGGGGGGCGGCAGGCACGGCGGGCGGCGGCGGAGGCAACGTGGAACGCGCTCGTGTCCGCGATGACGAAGTCCTCCATGACGTAGTACTTCTGGAGGGAGAAACCCGGGCGGATGGCCGAGCTGGCGCCCCCGTTCTCGCCGACGCGGGGCGACAGGTCGACGGGGGGGGCAGTGCTGACGCGGACGTTCACGCTCAGCTGGTCCAGGGGGTACGCAAGGAGGTGGATCATCTTTTAGGCGCTGGAGGAGGAGCAGCATGGATTCTGGGCGATCGTATCCATATTCGCACAGGTGTTTCTGTGCGGGCGCGCGTGCACGCGGTCCAGAGCCGACCATGCGCCGGAACGGGCATAGAAGATAACCCATGTCCGCACAGGTGGCTGGGCCGCCAGGAAACTGCGGAAGCGGATCCAGCGCTCGAGGAAGTCTGAGAGGAGCCCACGCATCAGGAACAGGTCTGGCTTGTCTGGCACTGCTTCTTCGCCATGTTCGTCGCCGCCGTGGGAGAGCCGCGAGTCGGACTGGGCTGGCGGAGGTCGCGCTGGCCGCGCACCCAGGGGCGGCGGGCGCGATGCTCGGCGGAAGTGAGGCGGCGAAGCGCTCCCAGACGGTAGACGCGCACGGGGTCGCGGCCCATGCCGTCGCAGAGCGCGGGCACCAAGCGGCTGCGCGCTAAGCGGGAGGGGGGGCGGGCGCACGCGCAGGTCTCGGCGTCGAGGCGGGCATCGGTGGTGACAAGGCAGAAGCGGACGTAGGCCAAGCCGCGCGGCGAGTAGCCATCCCACGGCATCCGCGGGCGCGGATCCCCAGCGCGCCGCGGAGAGCAGCAGAGCGATGTCGCCGAGCGCCCCGATGTTCGCCCATAAAGCCACGCAGCAGACGTCGGACTCGCTGGCGCTGTTGCAGCGAGTGGGAGACCGCAGTGGTCTCCTGCATGATCGCGTCGGAATCCGTTTGTAGAACAAGGGCGCCAGCAATCGCGACGCGGCTGCGGCAGCTGTCGGCGCCGTCGACAATTTTCTTCGCGACGCAGGCGCCCAGATACCAAATAGCTCTTGCTTTGCTGAGGAGGCTCGTGCCTTGAACCTCTTTGGAGAAGCTGCCCGTCTGTGCTGAGAACTCGGCGGCGGGGCCGAGGGTCACGGCGTCTCTGGCGCAGCGGGCAGCCCCGTGCATCGGGGGCTTTTGGAAACGCCACCAGCGCGCAGCAGGGCAGAGGTTCTCGTCGCACATCTCGGCGAAGGACTTGCAGCGGCGCGCGCAGAGCGGCGAGCCGACGACGAAGGCCGGCACAACGCGCCCTCGGGGCGGCCTGCTGCGAGCAGGACGGACACCACATTGCATGATCTCGCGGAAGCCCCTGGATGCATTGGCGCCAACTATGGGAACGTCATCCGCATGGATCATGGCACCCATATTGGGGGAGTTCTGTGCCTGCAGGAGAACGAAGCAAAGGCCAATCGTGCTCTTAGCGAAGTAGACGATGATGCGATGCGTGGTGGAGAGGGTCGTGACCTCATGCATCTCCAGCAGGAGCTGCACCCAGAAGACCGGGAGGCATTGGCAACGCTGAGCCTCGATCGCGTTCGAGACAAGCACCGCGTTGAAGCTCTTGGGGCCGTGCTCGGAGATGTCGGGATCGCCCACCATGATGAGCGCGCCGCTCTCGAGGTGGACTTCGGCAGCACGACAGCGTAGTTGACGCCATTGGCGCGGCTTCGTCTCTCTGTCGCTCAGGGGCATCTCGTGGTGAGGATGCCACATGCAGTATCGTCGTAGGCGCGGGCGGTGTCCGCGAAGCTGAGCCATGCTGGTCGCCCTGGCGCAACCTCCGCGAGAGACCGCAGCGGTGACGCTCCGGGCGGGCGGCTCGGCTCGACCATGACGCAGAGGTCGAGGAGGCCAATGACGCCGTCCGAGGTGGGGTTCGCGCTGCCAGAGTGGAAAGCCTAGTGCTTGCGCCGCGTGGAGCACGCCAGGCTGCCCATGTCTGTTGCCGCGCCGCGCGTCTCCAACCGCGCGATTAGGGCTCGCCGACGAGGCAGATCCGGGCGGGCGACTCGGCTCGACCATGACGCAGAGGTCGAGGAGGCCAACGACGCCGTCCGAGGTGGGGTTCGCACTGCCAGAGTGGAAAGCCTAGTGCTTGCGCCGCGTGGAGCACGCGAGGCTGTCTATGTCGGTTGCTGCGCCGTGCGTCTCCAACCGCGCGATCAGGGCCCGCCGACGAGGCAGAGGTCGGAGCAGGCGGCGTTTCTCCAGACGTCGTAATCCCGCCCTCTGGGCGCAGGTGGTCTAGAGCGCTTCCTTTTCCAACCTCCTGCCTTTCCTTGCTCGGGAAGCCCCCCCCCATCCACGCGCTTGGTCGGGGGAACGGGGGGGGGGGGAGGGCATGGCGGCGTCCAAGATGGCCCAAGATGGCCCCAAGACGGCCTCGGAGCGCGCAAGATGGCCTCCAAGATGGCCCAAGATAGCGGCAGATGGGCCAAGATGGCCTCCGACGCACGTCCAAGAGGCCTCATGACGGCCCCAAGACGGTTCCAAGTGCTGCCCGAGGCCTCCGAGGACCCCCCAAGAGGCCAAATCATTTAACAACCCACCGATGGGCTCTCGAGGCCTCGAGATGGCCCCACAACGGCCCAATGTAGCCCCAAGGGTGATCCAAGAGGGCCCCCAAGACGGCCCCAAGAGCGCCCAAGAGCGCTCCAAGAGCGGCCCAAGAGGGCCCCAAGACGGCATGTTTGAACCTCCGAAGGGGCGATGGGAATTGGAACCCCCTTCTCGTTTAGCGAAATGGTCCAAGACGGCCCCGAGAGGCCCCCCCCCCAGGCATCCCGAAAGAGCCCCAAGAAGGCCCCCAGACCCCCCAAATGAGCCCCAAGAGGGCTCCAAGACGCCCCAAAAGAGCCCCAAGAGGGCTCCTAGAATGCCCTAAGAGGACCTCAAGAGAGCCCCAAGGAGGAGCTCCAGGAGGGCCCCAAGAGGCCCCCAAGAGAACCCCAAGAGAGCCCCAAGATGGCTCCAAGTTTCGAAATTCACGGGAACGTAAGATACAAATCCGCACAACAGCCATCACGAGTCATCGAAACACTCCGCACCATCGAAGCACCATCGTAGCTTGCACCGACTTCCATCTTAAACTTCAATGCGGGAAGCTCCTTGCGATCCTTGATTCCACGAAGGCGCCTGCGCAACTGCATGCGTCCTGCCGCCCCTGATTCACCGACTCCCCTGCCGATCGTTTCTGGACGGTCTGGCGGGGGCACTTTTGAGTCAGCGGCCGCAGGCGAGCGCGCCAGCGGCGAGTCCAGTCAGAGCGGGGCGCGCAAAGACGAATTAACCTAAAGCGGTGGGCCGCAGCCTCACGCAGCACCTCAGCGGCCAGGCCGGCGGGTGGAAAAAGGCTGGCGGTAAACTGGGGAGCAGTGCTGCCATGGTGCACGCACGCAACGCGTCGGGAGCAGCAGGCGGCCAGGGTGCCCGACGACCAAAGACTGCAGCAGGCGTGGGAATCAGGTGCAAGGGCGCAGGCCCCCGGATTACAGCGTCAAGAATTCCGAGACTCCGCGAAGAAGCCCGCGCGCTCAAGAGGCGGTGTCCGTGGTGATCCCAAAGGGAATGCGCAGCCAACGAGTCAAACGAAAGTGGAAGCCACTGCGCAGAGGCCGAAGCTCCGGGGAAGCTGGGATCGAAAGTGGTGCGGATGTTGTTCTGCGGTTGGTCATTGCTGCCATGTCGCAATGCTGCGGCTGCCCAAAGCACGGTAGTCGGCGCACCAGGAGTGCTGCCCGCACGCAGTTGAAACAAGACCTCGTTCTCGGCGTATTGGTCGAGGCACCGTTTGATGAGGTCGCCCAAGCGCTTGAGCTGGATTTCTCGGCGCACTGTTCGCGGGCTCTTGTCGGTCGACACGTATCGCGCAGTAGGAGCGGCACCACCAACAGAGATAGAGAAATCACGCCATGCCCGCCCGACTCGCATTGCGCTGCGTCAGCGTCGCGCGCGCGGTTCTGCAACCGCTGTGCCGCCATTGATGGAGAAGCTGCAACGGTTGCTGATGCCCGAAGTATTGAACGATACTTGTTCGTTGTTGACTTGGGCCTCCTTGAACAGAGATTCCAATGCAATCTTGATATCGTCTATACCGAATGGGGTAGCACATCCACACCAAACGATGCAAGGGCCAGCTGCTTGATCCCATGTCCCCGTGCTGACCACGTCGAAGCTTGGGCTGCGGGTCTCCGCGTCGCCAACGATCTTTTGGAGCTTGTCGACTGGTTCACGTAATTCTCGGGTGGTCACTTCCGCGGCTGCCATTCTGGCTTCGGTGTCTTGCAGGTCACTCTCGGTTCGCTCGTACTTGGCGTTCAGATCGGCGGCGATGGACGAGATGGAAGCGAGGAGTCGTAAGCGGGCGGATTCCACGACGGATTTGGCGGTCGCTTCGAGCCCTGCGGCGGCGATTCTGACCAGCGCGGCGAAAGTTTTCTCGAGCTGCTGCCGACGTCGGAGCAGCGTCGAACCATGGGCCGGGACACTTGTCATCTTTTCTGCAGTGATCACACTGCTGGACGACAACCTCTGGCATGGCGACGGCTCACAGCTTGCCACCGCGCGACTGATCACCTCGCAAGATGCGGAGGCAACTGCACACAGAAGTACGAGGGCGGAATACTGGGATGGGCGCCCGCAAGCCCGCGATTGTGGCGGGAAGGAAAGGGGAACTGGCCGCGGCCCGGCCCAGCGGCGTCCATGTGACACTGCTGGGTAATGTCATATTGAGCCAGGAGGGAGGAGGAGGAGGAGGAGGAGGAGGAAGAGGAGGAGGAGGAGGAGGAGGAGGAGGAGGAGAAGGAGAAGGAGAAGCAAGCGGTCGCAACGCCCAGGCTCGTCACACATTGCGGGCGGCAGCTCCGGCAAGCGGATGGTCCAGCCTTGGGGGGGCGGCGGCAGAGGGCGCACCCCGCGAGATCCGACCGCCTCCGCCTGCGGGCTGGGCCGCGCGAGGGCTCTCTGTCATATGTAATGGTTTGGGCCGCTCCGAAAATCTTCTGTGGCTGAGCGCATCCACCCTCCTCCCCCCGCGCGGCCACCTCGTCTTCGCTTCTTCCTCTTGCACGTCAGACAAGTCGCCTTGCGGTTTACCCCGAAAGCCTCACGCTGGCGCGGGCTGCCCCGGCCTCGCCGCCGACGGAAAAACTAACCTGGCGAAGAACCCATCCATATGCAATTGTGGCTACAGCAATTGTGAATATCTTCTTCGGTGGCGCTCCCGATGGGGCCACGAAACGCGTAAGGGGGGTGCCGACATGGGAGCGGGGGAGCCATGCGGACGGTGGTATTGGGGCCTTCGGTGGAGCTCCCTATGGGGCCACGAAGCGTGTGAGGAGGTGCCGAAATTGGTGCGGGGGACGCATGTGGACGGTGACACTGGGGCCTTCGGTGGAGCTCCCTATGGTGTCACGAAACGTGTGGGCGGTGCGCCGAAATGGTTGTGGGGACGCATGTGGCCGGCGGCGCTGGGGCATCCGGTGGAGCTCCCTATGCGGCCGCGAAACGTATGAGGGGGATGTGGCACTGTGGCCTTCGGTGGAACTCCCTATGGGACCACGAAACGTGTGAGCGGTGTGTCGAAATTGGTGTGGGGGACGCATGCGGACGGTGGCACTGGGGCCTTCGGTGGAGCTCCTATGGGGCCACGAAACGTGTGAGAGGGTGGGGGGGGGGGGGGGCGAAATGGGCGTGGGGTGCGCATGTGGACGGTGGCACCTCGGCCTTCGGTTGGGCTCCTATGGGGCCACGAACGAGTTAGGGGTGCCGAAAGGGGTGTGGGGGACGCCTGTGGATGGTGGCACAGGGGCATTCGGTGGAGCTCCATACGAGGCCACGAAACGTGTGAGGGGGGGGGGGGGAATGGGCGTGGGGGACGCATGTGGACGGTGGCACTGAAGCCTTCGGTGGAGCTCCTTATAGGGCCACGTAGCGTGTGAGGGGTTTGCCGACATGAGCGTAGGAGACGCATGTGGACGGTGGAGCTCAATGGAGCCTTCGGTGGAGCACCTTATGGGGCCACGAAGCGTGTGAGGGGTGTGCCGAAATGGGCGTGGGGGACGCATGTGGACGGTGGCGCCGGGGCCTTCGGTTGAGCTCCCTATGGGGCCACGAAGCGTGTGAGCGGTGTGCCGAAATTGGTGTGGGTGACGCATGTGAACAGTGGCACTGGGGCCTTCGGTGGAGCTCCTATGGGGCCACGAAACTTCGGTAGAGCTCCATACGAGACCACGAAACGTGTGAGGGGGGTCGACATTCGTGCGGGGGACGCATGTGGACGGTGGCACTGGGGCCTTCGGTGGAGCACCTTATGGGGCCATGAAGCGTGTGAGGGGTGTGCCGAAATGGGCGTTGGGGACGCATGTGGACGGTGGCGCTGGGGCCTTCGGTGGAGCTCCCTATGGGGCCACGGCGCGTGTGAGAGGTGTGCCGACATGGGTGGGGGGGACGCATGTGGACGGTGGCACTGGGGCCTTCGGTGGAGCTCTTATAGGGCCACGAAGCGTGTGAGGGGGGGGGGGGGGGGGGCGAGCTGGTGCGGCGGACGCATGTGGACGGTGGCACCTCGGCATTCGGTGGAGCTCCATACGAGGCCACGAAACGTGTGAGGGGGGTCGACATTGGTGCGGGGGACGCATGTGGACGGTGGCACTGGGGCCTTCGGTGAAGCTCCTTATGGGGCCACGAAGCGTGTGAGGGGTGTGCCGAAATGGGCGCGGGGGACGCATGTGGACGGTGGCGCTGGGGCCTTCGGTGGAGCTCCCGATGTGGCCACGAAACGTGTGAGGGGGGTGCCGAAATAGATGCGGGAAACGCATGTGGACGGTGGCCCCCTATGCGGCCACGCAGCGTGTGAGGGGTGTGCTGAAACGGGTGATGACGTTGATGATGGAGGGAGGGGGCAGCGGGAGGAGGAACGCGAGGCGCTGTCTTTTCAAAACGAGGACCCAACAACACAGGATGGTTAGGAACAAGAGCTTCCAGTAGCAAAACAAGGACCCCTCAACCCTTTGGGAGGGGACCGAAGTTAGGAGGACCAGAAACATTAGGGATAGGGAGTCGTTTTTGGGGGAGACGAGCCAAACCAAACCGCTGGAAATTCTTATCCGGCCCTAATGCGAGGACGGGGACCTCAGTGAGGCCACGACTTCGCTATAATATTAGGGTTAGGGGTTCTGTATCCTCGCTAATGTTTAGTGCCATCTTTGTCACAAGGCGCCGGTGCCTGGTCAAAACCTCCCTGAAAATGCATCCGAGGGCCCCCGGCGGTCCCTCGCGGACTCCCCCCGCCCCCGGCTCAACGACGGCAACGGACGGCCCCGAGACGACCCACGAGGGCCCCAAAACAGGGCGGGACGACCTTGAAACAGCCCAAGACGGTCCAAAAGAGGAAGGATACGGTCCACGAAGGCCCGAAGATGTTCCAACAGACGACCAAAGAGGCCTCCCAGACAGTCCAGGAGACCTCCAAGAGGACTTTCAAGAGGGCCCCGAGAGGCCAACACCATTGAATTGCCTTGGATGTCTGAAAGATTTTAGCGCCGTCGCCCTTTCGGGCCTCCAGCGCGCTCCAAGACGGCCCAAGAGGCCCCCGAGATTGCCCCACGCCAGCTCAAGAGGCCCCAACACGGCCCCCAGACAGCCCCAAGAGGCCCCCAAAACATCCCAAGACGGCCCCAAGAAGATCCCAAGAGAGTGGGGGGACTTCACGTGAGATTTCGCACTCTCCGCCCCAAGATGACACCCGAGATCACCATCAGGTCCTCAAGGAGCCCTCCAAAGCCCCTGGAGGCCCCTCAGAGGCCCAAATCAGACCCCAGGAGGCCCCCACGACATCTCCACGGCTACACGAGGCCCAAGTCAGGCCGCAGGAGGTCCCCAAGGAGGCCCCCAAGGAGGCCCCAAAACATTTGCAGGACCGTCTCCAAAAGAGGCTTCCGAACAGCTTTCCAATAGATCCCAAGAGGCATCCAAGAGGCCTCTGACCTACATCCTGGGCACAGTGGCGGGATGGGACAAAGGCCACTGGATACTCCAAAGAGGCCCTCAGGGAACCCCGAGCAAGGACAGCTGGCATGCGCCGTACGCGTCAGTTCGTCAACCTCCCAGGGAGCGGCCGGCGATGCGCCGCTGGCGTCCTCGATAAAGGCGAGATAGGGAGGGAGCCATGGACCAACGAGCAGGACAAGAAAGAGCCGAAGAGGCAGGAGAAAGGAGATGGGGAGGGCGCGCAGGAGGAGAAGCAAAGAGAGGCACGAGCACGCACCACAGAGCAGCACAGACCGTTCCCTCTGAAGGGGGCCGACGTTCACACGAGTCCCGCGGCTCCGGCAACCCCAGGCCAGACCTCAGAGCCGAAGGTCTTGGGTAACGTCGATGTCAGGGCGAATCGAAATGAATAGGAATCGGCGCGTGCCGTTCTTATCCTCCCCCCCTCCCTTCTCCCACTCCTCATTCCTGCCCGCGCGCGGGGAAAGCGCGCGCGGGGAAGGAGGAGGATGGGAAATCCGCCCCGTTGCCTGCCGACGTCAACATGATGTGCTTGGCACACCCTTTGCACGGGTCCCTGGACGGGCCGAAGGCGCCCAACCCCAGATGAGAGTGGCACGGGCTTGGGGGGGCAAAATGTACTGATACCGCTGCTGCCGAAAAAAACAGCCGTGGAGACGACGGAAGGGTTAGATTCATCTTCTGAGGGTCTGCGTCAAATGGTAGCGCATCGCGCCCAGCGTACTCGACTACTGAGCGCAGCAAGTGGCACAAAGCGGGTTCGGCCATGGCAAAACATCAGGCGTAGAAACGCGCGGTCGTCCCTACTTCCCTGGAGATGTCATGGTCCCGTGGATGTCCCACTCTAGAAATCAATGGAAAGTGAAAGCGACTGCCGCACAAGTCAAACTCTCAGATCAGCCAAGGAACAGCAGAACGATGCATCCACAGATATGCCAGCAGATCACTCTCAATCATAACAAGCAATATGCGAACATACACCCGAGATCGTGTCGCGCTATCTCGGAGCAGGCCTTTGATTGCCGAGTGTGCAAGCAGGCTACTCGGTTTGTGGCCCTAGGCCACCAACACTAGGCTGTAAGCAACGGCTTTTACAAAACGACAAGACAACGTATATCTCTTGAAAGGGCCCCTGGCATTCTCCAACGAGTTCTATCTAGTGAGCTCCTCGGCCTCGTCCACGTACACGCCCGGCTCCTCTCCCATTGTGTGTTCCTGCTCCTGCTGCATTCCTGGGCGATGTCGACGGCTCATCCGATGAGCTAGCTGACCCCTTGCCGTCGCCCCTCCAAGACTCTGAACGGCTTCGCTTTGTCCTCCCATCTGTCGTCGATGTCTGGCGCGGAAGATGGAAAGTTGGTAACAAGGCAGAGATCGGCAGACGTACCCACGCGTGAGTTCGAGCCACAGCCATTCGCAACATTCAGTGCAAGCCGCAGTTGATGAACATCTGCTGCTCCACCCCCACGCTAATCAATTCGCACCGTGGGTGTGCGTTTGTGCGCGGGCTCTCGCTTGCAAGTCGTACCTACTACTACTACTACTACTACTACTACTACTACTACTACTACTACTACTACTACTACTACTACTACTACTACTACTACTACTACTACTACTACTACTACTACTACTACTACTACTACTACTACTACTACTACTACTACTACTACTACTACTACTACTACTACTACGACTACTACTACTACTACTACTACTACTACTACTACTACTACTACTACTACTACTACTACTACGAAGCTACTACGACTACTACGACTACTACTACTACAACTACTACTACTACTACTACTACTACTACTACTACTACTACTACTAACTGACGACGTACTACTACTACTACTACTACTACTACTACTACTACTACGACGATACTACTACTACTACTACTACTACTGACTACTACTACTACTACTACTACTACTACTACTACTACTACTACTACTACTACTACTACTACTACTACTGCTACTGCTACTACTGCTACTACTACTACTACTACTACTGAGACGACGACTACTACTACTACTACTACTACTACGACTACGGATACTACTACTACGACTACTACTACTACTACTGCGACAACAACTAATACTGCTACGACAACTATTCCTACTACTACTG